ATTAAGTGATTTATCAGGTGTTAAATAGTATGTACTTCTAAACTCTGGTCTTCTACCATGCAATCCTACACCCACTGAACTTAATGAGTTTTGCCATTGACAGTACCAGAAGGATCCTCCTCCTAGTAAACAAGTTAACTAGTAAACATTAAGGCATATACTCTGCACTAACAGATACTCAGCCTTGGCTAAGGGTAACAGGATTCTGGCTGTGTGATGCTGAACAGTCCTTCATCATGGGAAGTCTTCAGTGGGAGAGGGCTCTTTGCAAAAACAGCATCAATGAAGTATTAGGAGACATAACCCATTAGCTAAAAATTAAGTAAATCTGGGGAAGCCAGCTAAGATTGAAAGCTCAGACACTGCTGATTGTTTGCCCTTTGGCTTTTCTGTTTTTCCTCTCTCTTATTTTAAACGATTACAAAGTACATCCTCCAATCCAAAATGAGCACCCATGAGACAAGTCCTGGAGCTACAGGTTTACTGTGCTGACTCCTGCATACCTGCACCACATACAGGTCAACGCAAGAGAAAGTGCCTATATCCCCCAGCGTGCATCTAGAAAAAAACCTCCACTGAAACCAGTTGTGAAATCTGAATCGCAGTAAGGCTCTGCCTTCACTGCTGCCCACAGAAAGCACTCTCAGCTCAAGCATCAGCCAGGTGGCACACAAGGGAGCCTGGGCTCAGAGAAGCCCTGGCCTGGGAGACCTGAAGCAGCTGATCTCCCCCCATATCCCCAGTTTTAGTTTCCCCACGACTGCACACTTGTGCCAGCACAACTGTTTTTATGGTCACATGGTAAATCAAACAAAACAACTCATATCTATAAAAAGGAAAATAAACTGTGCTCTTTGGGACCCTTCCATTTGCCTACTGAATTTTGAGTCTCTGCATGACACCACGGCTATATTCTCAAGGTATAATAATTTCAGGCAAAAAATAAGGAGATCCTGATAATTAGAAAGCTCCAGGTGAGGTTTTAAACAGAATTTACCATCAACTGGACCTTAACCACAAAAATCATCAACTGTGTCTAAACTCCTAATCCTGTCTCCTGTTGAGCTTTTGCTCTCATGAAAGCCTTTGCAAAATGTTTACACTCTCCTAGTGCCTCAGTTCTCCCATCTGTGGGAGGAGAGGTGAGGCCGAAAGGATCACTTGCCAATACTGTAATGAGTGCCAACATTGTGGTAGTGTTTACAATAATATAATCAGTTAACTACTATGGCTCAGGATCAGAGGAACAGGTTTGCTACCAACACAGATATTCCAACAACTGGGGAAAAAAAAGTGTCTGAATATGACAACCATACCAAATACCCCTTCCCAACCCACCGCAGAGTCAAAGCTTCAGACCCTCTCGGACTGGAGACCGACACAACCCCAAAGCCTACCAATTCATGCAGAGAGTATACTGATGCTCTAAGCTATAGCAAACACTTCATTCTCATCTCTGACCCCCAAGGTTTTATTTTTTAAACCCCAGTGATAACTTCTCTCTGCAGCTTTAGACTCTACACACACACTTAACTTCTGTGCTACAACAGCACAGCAGGACTGCTTGCCATCCACCAGGCAAGCACACATCCAAGTGTTGGCAAGGTCTGGATATTAGCACTGTATTTTTCATTTCTCAGAGAAGGAGTCAGTAAGCAGCTGGGGTATAAGCAAAGCACTAGCCTTAACTCTTTGCTGAAGCTTTCCATGGTTCATCACCACAGGTATTATGGCATTTACTGCATACACCCTTGTCCCACACCCAAGGAGGAAGAGGAGAAAAAACCCAAGCAGAAGAACAACAAAACAACACATTCACCAGCACCACTGCTTCCAGTTCACAGGCTCCTAATGAAACTTCCTGACACCCTTGTAGCACAATACTTGCCTACTTTTCAGAACAACACAGCAGCTTAGCAGCGAAGTTGGGGTACAGTGGGGACCTTGCTCCTCTGCCTCAACATCAAGCTCCATGCCACCAACCAGACTGGAACACTGAAAAAACTATCAATTGTACTCATATAATCACACTACCAGTTAAACAGCTCCTCTTAAATCCAGCTGCTGAGTACAATCACCTTGAACACTGCTTGGTTGAAAGAAGAGTCAAAAAAACAATGGTAGTTTGAAAAGCTGAAGTGAAAGTTACCCGGAATGGTTTGACTCGTGAAGAAAAGCTTTCATTTGAAGTTCACATTTCTGTCTGAAAAGTTGTACTTTCTGTATTTGAAATCATCAAAATAACCACCAGAGAAGCCAGTAACAGCAGTTTTTGTCCTCTGACAAGATAATTGGAAGGGTCTGCATGGAAACTGCACATAAACAAACTATACATTAAAAAATTAAAGTAAGTTCAGATCATAACGTTTAGAATTAGTCACTTAAAAAAAAAAATCAGTTTTCCAATGTCTATCTAAATGTAATGAAAATTTGGCATTTATTCATTACAAGACTGAAGCAGAAGTTTGCTTGTATCTCTCCTGCCAGGTAGCTGATTCCTTACAGTATGATTCTATAATGTACCTTACTGCGGCTAGGGAAGAACCAGCTTTACAGTTCCTGAAATCAACAGTAGAATTTCTCCTGACTTCAGTAAGAGCAGAAGTAAGCCTTGTATTTTCAAAATGACACAGTGAAAAAACAAGGAAATACAACTAATATGACACTACTTTTTCATGACATTCATTTGTGTTCTTCTGTCCAGAGAACACATCCTACCTTCCCATAGGGTTTACTAAAAAAAGACAAGCAGTAGTTATATTTAATTTTATATATATAGGAATTCAATGAGTCAATTGCACACATTTTGCCTGCATTAGCATTTCACCAATACTGTAACGTGCATACAATACCCCATTATCCAATTTGTGTGTCTGTGCTATGAAAAGTCAAACTAGACTAAGCCACGAGACTTCACGGGATACAGGCCTGACTGCATTTAACTCAGCAAGAGAAAATACACCCAGAAGCTTTCAAATTGTGTTCATACCGTATAGAACGCAAGACTCCCCCAAACACACACTGGACAAGCAAACAAAAGAACATCATGCTGAATAAGTGTTTATGCTAGGCTCTTCTCCTTAAGAGAGAGTCTGGAAATCACCTCTTCCTTCCAGAGTGGGAGAGACAACCACGAAAGATCTCTTACTCGGGCAGAATTAGTCGGGAGCAGAAGGTAGACTCCTGGCTTGCAATAAGGCAAAGTGTCTCCTAAACAAAACACAAAACTGAGGGGCAGGGGAGAGAGGAAAGCACTGTTTCTAATGGGCTGCTAGATAGGAAGGGTCTGGACAAAAATGGAAACTCAATTTTGCTTCCATTGTCTCAGCTTCATGCTACCTCCACTTTAAACAAGAAACTTCACGGGGTAACCTCCTTTTCAACGGGCCAAGGCACGGAGAAACACATTCCCCAGTCCCTGGTAGAGAAGGCCGGGCTGCCAGTCCTAGCTCCCCTACCTGCCGGCCGGCAAGCGATGCCAGTAATTGCAGCGCCTAAAAATAAATCATACTAATGCGAATATAAAAAAAATTTAAAATATATATATAAAAAAAAAGCCCTACAACTCACCGCTGGTGGAAGCAGCAGCGGCTGCATCTCCCGGACGGCAGAAAACTTTCTACGAAGTTGCTGGCGGGAACGGCGGGTAGCTGGCCCCGAGGGAGGCCGGGCCAGGCTCTGGGGCTCCCTTTAAAGCTCCCTGCCATGAAGAACCACGCCACCACCAAAACCGGGTCGCGGCTGCCGTGTACCCTGGGGCTGCGTAGGGCACTGACAGCCCCCGGGAGCCCCGTTCCCCCGCCCGCGGCGGGAGCCAGCGCGGGGAGCCCCCCGCTCCGCGCTGCCGCACCCCGCGAACGCGGTGGGGGGCGCGACCTCCCGGGACCGCACTTCGCGCGGTGTAAAACGGGAGAGAGAAAAACAGTTATTTTCATCAAAATAACCGCCCCGAGGCGCCGGCGGACGCGACCCGCGCTGACAGGGGCCGGACAGAGGGACGGGGCTTTACCTTGATGCAACACTGAGCAGAAGCGTCGGACATCTCTCAGGAGGGACTCTGCGGAGCCCGGCGGGGCAGGCGCAGACGGGCAGACGGGAAGTTCTCGGGCTTTCCCCACTTTACGCTCCTCTCCCGGCCCGGCGGCGCGGCCCCACCCGGCCCGTCCTCTCAAGGGGAAGTTACCGCCGGCGGCGCGGCCGGGGGCGGGCGCGGCGCTGCCGGGGCTGGGGGGGTCACCCCGCCGGTCCCCGGTGCCGGGTCCGCTCCTCGATCCGCCGCCGCCGCCGCCGCCCCCCCCCCCGCACGCCGACGGCTCCGCGCGCGCCTGCCCTGCGCGCTCTCTGCCCGCGCAGCTCCGCGTGAGAGGCGATGGGGGCGGGGGAAGAGGGAGGGGGCGCGGAAGGTGGGGGAGGGCGCGGCCCCGATCCTCGCCGGTGTTTTCCTTCCTGGAAAAGAGAGAAACCGAAAGGCGGCGGCGGGGGCCGGGCGTTACGCCCCGCCCCGCGCCACCGCTCATTGATCCGGAGTTTCGGGGCCGAAACTGACGTGGGTTCCCGGCACCCGCACCGCCCCTTAAAGGGGCCGCGGCCGGCGGGAACAGCCGCGGCCGGCGGGGACGGGCCAGGGCGCGCCTGCGGCGGTACCGGTGCCGCGCGGGCGGAGCGGGAGCGCGGCTCGCTTTGGCCGGCCCGCATCGGCACCCAAGAGCGCCGGCCAAAGCGGAGGGGAGGCTGGAAGGCCGCAGTCGGGGTCGCGTCGCTTTATTCAAAGTGCCGTTTGGCTCCACGCGGTGCCGTCGCCCCCGCCAGAGCTCGCGTGGGGCCTTTAAGCACCGCCCGCTGGTGCCGGGGCGGGCAGTGGATGTGGCCACGGGCGGACCCGCGGCAGCACAATGAGCCTTGTTTCGCCGCCAGGGCCGCCGCTTTAAGAGCCCCGGCCAGGAAATGCGGCGCGGGTCACGGCGGGGCACGGGAAGTCCGCGGAGGCGCCGCCACCCCGTTTCCCCAGCCCTGCGCTCGGCCCGGCCCCGCGGCGCTGTCCGCGTTCAGACCCCGGCGCGGTCGCACCGGCTCAGGGTTTCGGGGAGGTGGTGTATCACCCGCCGCGTGTGGGACACGTAGGAGCGTGTGTGATTTCCAGCCGTGTCGGTGTTAACGCTGTTTTCCATCACCCTCTGGCTTCTGGACAGTACAGCCCCAGCCCTCGTGACGAGAGTGAAAAGGGTGGGGGGAAATGTGAAAAATACCTCGGCCATATCTTCGTCTAAATCTCTCTGTGATTTTACAGGCAGTTTTTGGTGTCCTGGCTGGTTTTTGGATGTACCCACTGTATTGCAAGTCCCGAACGTGCCTGGGAGCAGATGACTGCTTTGTACCCATCGCACTGCGAGGCAGAACTGCCTCGGGAGTCTGCTGTAAGGATGCTGTGCATTGGGATAGAACAGGCTCCTATTAAGTGATTTGGCGCTACTGAAAATAGCGAACGAGAGGGAATCCAGCTTCGGTATTTCAAAGCAAACTTTAGCTCACATTACAAGATGCCTGCTTAAACGTGGCATGCTGGCATCAAATGCAGTGCTGCTTCACCTGCGTGGCCAAGAGGTGAGACTGCTGCCAGTAGGCACCCCTTAGTCCATTTTGCAAACCAGGACCAACTCCTTGTAGTCTCTTACACCTTCATTTTAGCCAGTCCCTGAAAATGAGGAAGAGGGAGCAACCAATGACCCTTTTTTAACATAGGACCAACTCAGTAATGAAGGATTCATATTTGCATGTCTTCCCTCAGTGTGGCTGAACGGCTGGAGAAGAACTGTTGCTATTGAGAATCATAGAATCATCAAGGTTGGAAGAGACTTCTGAGATCATCCAGTCCTATAATCAACCTAGCACTACTGGGTTAGAGTAAATCACATCACCCAGTGCCAGATCGAGACATCTTTGAACACCTTCAGGAATTGTGACTCCACCTCTCCCTGAGCAGTCCTGATGGCTGACCGCCCTAAGAGTGAAAAATTTTTTTCTGTTACCCAATCTGAATCTCCCCTGTCTCAGTTTAAGGCCATTTCCTCTAGTCCTCTCACTGTAGGTATGGTAGAGGAGGCTGGCCCCCACCTCACTACAGCCTCCCTTGATGTTGTAGAGAGCAATGAGGAGGACCTCTGGAGCCTCCTCTTCCCAAGACTACAAACACAGCTCCCTCACCCATTCCTCATAGGACATGTTTTCTACACCCTTCTAGGCCCTTCTCTGGACATGCTTTAGCACCTCAATGTCCTTTTTAAAGTGAGGGGCCCAAAACTCAAGGTGCAACCTCACCAATGCCAAGTACAGGGGTACAATACAATGTCTGTCTTTCTCCCCTCTTATCCTTTCTGCTTCATCACCATGACATTTTGCCTTTTTACTTGCACGATTACCACTATGAAGGGCTGAGTTACTATTCTCTGTCTCATGGCAAGTTGGGAGTTTTTGTGATTCCTTATGCTAATATAGAAATTCAAGGCAGAAAAGTCCTGTTAGGTCATCTACTCTGCTCCCCTGCTAAGAGAGGATTTACAACAAATGCATAATTGCTCTTTCATTTTAAATGCCTCAGGTGATGGGGCTTCCACCACTTTTGGAGTCTGCTTCACAGTCCAGAACGTCCCATGGTCAGGAAGATATTTAGCTTATATTTTCATTTGTTCAGTTTCAGCCAATTACTCCTGGTTATAAGCATGTTTTGTACTCCCCTAAACAGTTGTACTCCTCTCTGGCTGTTTGTGTCTTACACACAGATATGGCTATTTTCCTAGCCATTGCTATTCTTTATCTCCTTTCATTAACCAGTCCCTGCAGCCACTTTACTATTGGTCTTCTTTGATCTCATTCAATTGCTCATCAGTTCCTCAGCCCATGGATGCCCACATTTAGGGCCTTATCCTCTGTGAATGCAGCCAAAACCCCATCATAGTTTCATTTGTCTCAAAGTTGCCTCAAAGGTTGCACAAAATTTGTCACATGACATTGCTCTGAATCTGATCTTTTCCTGTTATTCCCCAGTATTCCCTCTTGCAGTGCAACTGCAATCTATTTTTCATTTTTCTGCCTGGAGTTTCAGCATCTGTTCCTTCCCTCTGGGGTCACTGATAGCTGCTGTTCCTCACAATTTGTTTAATGGCCCTTACAAATACAGGCCTTGATCCCTCTCCGCAGACCTCTCAACCAGTATGGATGGTTGCGAGTGTCTGTCCAAGACCACAACCTGTTCTAGAGCAATTGTCTTCCAGCTCTTTCTGTTCTTTGTGTTTTTCCACTACTCCACTAAATGTGAATGCAAGGGATGATAACTAGAAAAGGTAGGGAGAGAAATGGTGAATGTGTAGAGAAGGCCACAGGTATGAGTGTGGCACCTCTTTAGCCAGAAGTCAATCTCATTGAAGCTGCTGCAAGAAAGCTGGGAAGGAAATGTGGCTGGGCAAAACACACACCACACCATCCTGTGGTCTGTCCTTACCCACAGAAGCTATGCCTTAACCGTGCTAGCTACATGCTAGACAGGGACTGAAGAACATCTTTGAACACTTCGAACAAGGAGGACCAAACTCTTTGTAATGTGTTAGCTTTTCTGCTTGGTTCTGCCTTATTTCTCTGGCCTGATTTCTTCCAGTCTCTCTCATTAATTCCATCTCTTGAGACCTGACATTATGGTCCTGTCTGCTGGTCTGTGCAGAAAAAAAACGCTGCCAAATCTCCAGGTGTGCAGCATGCCCATGTTTGCAGGACTGTGGTTCTGAAAAAGTAAGAGGAAAACTTCTCCAGCTCCCCTTTAGATCTGCACAGCGCGGAAAGGAAGTCCATTATCTCTTGAACAGGCTCCCAGTTAGTTTCCTTCACTCTCACCTAGAAACTACTGCTTAGCTTATATCCATGAAGGAACCATTAGTTAAAGGCAGGATTTACAATCCAACAGAGCCACCTGTCATCAACACCCTATCCAGAATTCTCCTAACTTTTTGTTCGGGGAACTTGTTACAACTTAGTGTTGCCTGTATCAGCAACACTAATACAGGCAAAAGGTACCATGGCCTTGGGGCTCTCCCAGGAAGGGAGGGTGAGTGGCATGCTGGGGGACAGCAGCAGGATGAGAAAACTAATAGACTGGAGTATGTTCCTTCTCCTCATAGTGACCTGAAAAATCTGGCTTTAGATGCTTGTATTTTCTGGTCTAAAGTTTGTCTCTGAAAACAGAGTGAACCCTGAAATAAAAGAGGCAAACCACCCTTTCATTGGGACTTGTAATTTTCTGTCCACAGCAGTGCATCTCCATACCAGCTTCCACTGAGTCTCTGCCACTTGGGCCTCTTTTACAGCCATAGGACTCCCAGTGTCTTTTTACATGTACTTGCTCAACAGCTAGGCTAGGGTTTTTTTTCATATGTCCACAAAGGATGTTGAAGCCTTTTTCCCAAAGGGTTTAGATGCTTGGGTCCATATGAAAGCCAAGGTTTTCATTCCTTCTTTTGTGTACCTGTTTTCTGGTTTCAGCAGCGTGCAGCAATATCTCAGATGTTTGCAGTAATCATTGACTTTTATTAAGGAGATTTTGTTCATAGTAATATTTTTCTTTTCTCTTTTTATTTGCAAACCACTCATTAGTTTCCAGTGCCCAGTTATCATTAACTCATCCTACTGTTTCTCCGCTGTTGTCTTCCTTCCCTTTATCTTTCTCTAGCACAACTTAACTGACTCATTTAGTGCTCGCTTCTATGCTTCATTTGTATTACTAATTTTATTTTTGTCTTCCATTGTTTGTGCAGATACAAATAGTCACTTCATATGACTTGATGGATGTGTTGACATTACTGAGCCTCAACAGAGATGACTCTCTTGCAGACTGAGGGACAGGACCAACTCTTCAGGAACAAAGCACAGTAAGAGACAAGTAAATTCCAAGATCATGGAAGGATACATGGACATTACCATGCAACTGAGTTTTTGGTCTTGAGGGCACACAAAGAAATCCATGAGGGCTGGTACACGGAGGTGCTGTGGAAGTGATCCCCATTGCATGTTTAGCATTACGATTCTTTTTCCCTTACCAAATTAGTTTCTGAAAATAAATTGTATTTTATGGCCCTAGTATGCATCAGTCATGCTGCTTTTCTTATCATTAGCAGTAAGACTAGCTTTCACTCCATGTTCTCAGGCAAATCCTTTTTCCAAGATTTAGCCAGGTTAACATTTCTTGTGGTAAAAATCCCAAATCCTTGGCTTTTTAGGAATAGCTATTAAATTCAGTCTGTGGTGTTAGAATGAGAAATGCTATATCCATTTTATTTACATTCTTGCAAATTTGTTCATCTAGGATAATCTTCTTTGAGATTCTATGGTCTGGCTGTATGAATAGGATTTGCACCAGTATAATGATTTTGATAAAAGGTTTGTTTTGTTTTGCTTTCATTTGTTTTTAAATTAAAATAGCAATACTTGTGCATTTCCTAAAGCTGCAGGCATTTTGATATAAAGATAATTGTACAGTTTACATAGGCACTTTACATAGCTTTCCTATTTCAGAAACCCACATCAGTCAAAATAGAAATGCAAAAATGACACTTATTCGCCTGAACATTCTTTATGGTCCAAGTCATGTCATCCTCACATATCATCATATACTGTCTTATTTTGAATCGAGTGTATTGCTTCTGAAAATAAGAGAAAAATTTGCCATTGCTATAGGTGTGACTTCTGTGTGAGAAAGGGGATGGGAAAATGAGGACTGTACTGATTTAATTCCTCTTTGTTGTTCAAAGCGGTACAACCTTTTCTGAGAGACAAATTCATAGTCATGTTTGAGAAGCAGACTCCATTGCCCAAGTCACTGCTTAGATACGTGCTGACAGTGCTACTCCAGGCACATACGTTCAAGTTGCAGCGTGTAAAAATGAGGCAGTGAGTAGCCCTGACAGAGCTCCTGAGAGCACTGACTCCAGTGACACCAGCCTGGCAATAGCTATACCTGACTCTCAGGTTAGTCTAAACTGCTTTGGACCACAGATGCCTCTTATACCACTGTGGAACAACACCATGGCACCACAAGGCAGTTACAGCCAAGTCCTTTTGTGTTTTTGTTACAGCATGGTGCCAAAAACCAAAGCTTCCAGGGCTAGCACCCTGTAAAAGCACCCCATCCCACATTGCTATGCTGTGCAGGTTACACCACATCCTCCTTTGGCCATGCCAGCAACTGCCTTTAGAACTGTGAAAAGGCACAGGAATATATCATCTGTATATTTGTACATATGCATGTTTGTCCCTGTGTTTAAAGCCAGCTCAGTTTCCCTGGCTGTGGTGTAAGCAGATGGAGACTGGCAGGGACACCTTAAACTGGAATCTTGTGATCCCTCAAAGGCACAGATGCAGCTTCTCCTCTCAGCTGGTAGCATCTCTTGCTCACCTCCAAAGAGACAAGAGGTTTGTTCAGGTGCCTTTCCTTGCCCCAAGACTACAAAATCTTGCCCCAACAAAATGTGTGGAAGGGCCAACAGGCATGGAAGGACCAAGGACTAAAATCTGTCTCAGCCTTTGGCTATCCAGCCTTTGGCTGGAGATGGACAGGGCCAGGCAGGCTGTGTCAGAGGCTCTTCAGAGGAGGGAGAGTGGCTCCTGAGCCTGGGAGGGCTGAGAGGAACAGAAAGTATTTCTGCTGGGGGAAGATCAGTAGTAGGGAGCTGTAGCAGAGCTGAGTTAAGAGGCTGGCCTGCACTGGCCAAAACCTCTCTACTCAACCTACTTCAGCAGGGCTGGTTGTTTTGTGGAATTTAAATCTCCGAAGATATGTGAGGAACTTCCTGGCATCACATGCAGTGACAGGGGCAGGGCTATGCTGTTCAGGGTCATCCACCAGCCACAGCCAGAGCAGGAACCAAAGTCCTTGATGCCACAGAGAAATTGCTGTGGAAGTGGGCTCATCATTTCTTGAGCAGGCAGGGTGTGCAAAGCACCAGTAAATAAAGCAAAAGAAGTTAGCAAAAATAGGATTTTTGGAAGACAATTCTGCAAAGCACTAGATGCCCAGCTACCAATTTCAAACTATACCTTTGTGTTTTCTTGCATAGTCCAGAACGCTGAAGTGTATGTCTGTATTTACAACCTCATGAATTCAAAATAATGAGTTAGTTGCCTCTCACTTCAAAATCACTAGAGTTTGAGGGGAAAAATTACTTTGGAAAATTCTTTATATTGTATGTGTCTGCATTTTCTTATCTTCCCTCTGGATTTTGTCATGTAAAGTGAATGTTTTCAAACTTTTCCCCACAAATTTTGAATGCTGAAAAATTTCTTTTATCTCTTTCCTTCCATCTTTTCTTCTTTCTTCTCTTTGTTAATTTCTTCTCTTTCCTTCCATCTTTTCTTCTTTCTTCTTTGTTATTGTTCTCCCTCCCTTCTTACCTTCCCACCTGCCTTCTTATTTCATATGTAATTAAAATTACGTAGACCAGAAAAATTAAGAAATAATAAGATATATGATGAAACTCAAGGTAAAAGCAGAAAAATTATCAAGCTATATTCTGTTACTGTAAAGCATTTAAAGCAAAGATAAAAATAGAAGTGAAGGGACAGAGTTCAAATTCTGTGTCAGAAAAGTCCAAATTGATTTATGTTTTGCATGTACTATGGCTGATTTTTACTTCTCTATTTCATTCACCTCAGTTGCAGAGGTGAAATAAATTTTTCTAAAAACCCAATCCTCTCTATTAGTAATATTTTCACAGGTTCACCACTCCCTCTCTCCTTTTTCAGCATAATTTTCTCCACAAGGTGTTGAGATTACAGCTGTCATAGCTGTTCAAAGCTGTAGTTCTCACTCTGTCATCTATGTCATTGTAACGCTCTATCTTACTGGCAGTAAAAGAGTGACACAAATAGTTTTCCTGCCAGATAAAAACTGTCTAGTAGATTTAATGCCCATAATATAATGTGAGGAATAACTTTATATGAGCAACAGCAGTCAATCTGCTTATTATGGTATTGTGTCCCCTGGTATTGTTGGGGGAAAAATATTAGGTAGAAGCCTGTGGAAGCTCAGCACCTTTCTGACCAGTTCTGAACACTTTGGGGAAGGGGCTTATAGCAGTATGACCACACAGCTGCAAACCCAATGGGCTGATGTGAAAACTCAAGTTTGGAAATGGAAAAGAAAATGGAAACTCAGCTAATGGCTGAGTGTTGTGTGTGCTCAGCAAATGGCAGAATGAAACCCTGGCAAATGAAAAGAAAGTAACATGAGTACAGCTTGTTGCACAGAATTGTGATTTATCTGCTTTTATTTTCAACAGTTACAGTGGCACTGTGATGTAGGATTTTATAGTGTATTAAATCATGCCTGACATTTATGGATATAGTTTAGAGTGCATGCATTATGATAGTTAGTGGCCTCTCTGTGGCTGAGCAGCAAACAGTTTCCACTCACAGGAAACTCTTTCCACTCCATCCTCGAGCCTTTATGTAGCTTTAGCTCAGTTGCTGCCAAATACTCTCCAAAGAAAAAGATTTTGGTGAAGAACACAAAAAATAAACCACTTTTCTATTCCCGTTGAGTTCAGATTGTCCTGATTTAAAATCGCCTTTATTTCTGTTATTGTCTTGCATTTCCAAAAGCAGGAAAGGGTTAACTGCAGCTTCTTCAGGTGCTGCATATTCTTCTATCTTCCATGAGAATAAACAGATTGCCCTCTCACAGGAAAGAGGTGGTTAGCAGCCCAAGTTGCTGATGATGTTTTTGTAGGGAGTGGCATAATTAAGACTGGAAATTTTAGCTGACCCCAATACTAGCTTGGGAGAGGACTGGAAAGAGGCACAGAGGTGGGTGGATCTGGGTGCATCTGGTTCATCACTTAGACGGTGGGAGAGCAGCATCGCCACTGCTGCCTGCCCAGCACGTGGTTCACTGCCCCTTCCCACCCTTGCGGGGGGACAACATCTCACTAGACTGACCCGTCTTTGCAGCCACTGCCTGAGGAAAGCAAAGGTTAAGTCTTGGGTTGTACCCATCAAGACAGGCCTGAGAGGGTAGCCAGGAAGGAGGAGAGGGAGAGAAGGCATCTTGAACAAGTCCTGTCAACTGAAGCAGAGAGAAAGGCAGTTGGTGAGGATGGAAAAGGCAGTTGAGATGAGGACCAGGATTTTGGTTCAGGAGAGGCCTCGCCAGCAATTTCAAGGGGAGAGAGAGGGAGAGAATGCTCAGAGAAGTAGGTGGGATAGGTGACCTTGACTGGAGGGGAATTCAGCTTCCCTGCCTGTTGTCCCTGTGGCCAGAGAGACTCCTCTGTGTCAGAGGCCTATGGCACAGGGAGGTTTGTGACCAGAAGAAGGGAAGGCTTTGGCTGCCTGTGGAAGACATATATGCCAGGGCCTGAGCTAAGTGCAGATTGCAGTGGTCACAGCTACCACTGCAAGAGATACTCTTAATTACCACCTCAGATACCACCTTACAAGGGGTAATTAAGTTTTTTACACAATCCATGTGAGGTAAGCGCACAATTCTCACTCCTGTTTTAGAGCAAGGAGGAGACAGAGGATGAGCAGCGTGCCGACAGTCAGGTGGTGAGTCAGTGCCTGTGCTGCCATCACCAACCAGGAGCTCCTGGTTCCTAGCCTGGTCTGCAACCAGTCTCCCTGACGAGAGATGACAGTGAGCTGATTTCTCAAGCACTTTGATGAGAGAAGGAAGGTTAGAAATAGCCTGCAGCTGTTTCTAAAGAAAGTGTCAGGGCTGAAGGCGAATTTCAGAGGAGGGGAGCAGGAAAAGTGATGGTGGTGCAGTAACTACTGACACCAACAGTTATGAACAGGAAGGAAGAAAAAAATTGGAACCCAAAGATGGGGGATGGGTCAATAGAGAAGGTAGATTTTCTTGAGAAGGCCTGGTGGAGAGAGGAGGGGTGGCAGCAAGAAAAGAGCGAGCAGCAGTGGGGAAGAAGAAAAAAATACAGCGACAGTGTGCATGGTATTTGAAAGCTATTGTGTCAGGAGGCAGACAAGAAAAATGCCACCAAACATGGGGTCTTACAGGGTCTGGGCAATTATAATAATGCTATTGTCTCTTACACAGCAGCTGGAGATCTTGGAGCCCTCCACTGAGCAGGGTAAACATCATTACCTTTGTTTCACCTACGGGAGAACTGAGGCTCAGAGCAGTGAAGCCCCTTGCCTGTGGCCACTCAGCAAGGCCAACACATTATTCTGGTTTAAACTGTTATGATAAATGCAACTTGAAATAGGAATAGAACAGACAGGGACACACAGTTCTCAGTGACATAGGAGAGAAAAAGAAGAGATGACTGATGTCAGCAGCCCAAATTTATTTTTTATAGCTCTAGAATACATAATGTGAAGTAAAATGACAAGTGGAAGCTGTAAGCTTTGGATCCTCAATGCTTTAAACTACAAGCTAAGTAGCTGTAACAGGCAGACACTCCACTGTATGCACAAATACATGTGCACACAATAGTTCTGATGTGTGGTTTGTGCCCTTAAATAATTAATTTCCTTAGTTTTCCAACTTTCAGCAAAATTAAGGTAACTTACAACTACAAAAATGGAGACACGTGTATACACCAGAAGACTTTCACAGCCCCCAAAGTCCTTAGAGATAGAATAGGATAGGACAGAATAGAATATTCTGGTTAGAAGGGACTTGCAATTGTCTGGAAGCTGCATATGACCACTATCCTGTTGGGGTCATCTGTTTGGGGTAAGTTATGTATCACAGGGCAGAAACTATATGACTGACAACCTGTGGCTGCCACATCAGAAAGAGCATTATCTTAAAAAGTAGAAGCCCAGAAAATACCCACCAGTGTTACTGGTGGATTACACTCTTTGAGGTAGCATAACATTTTTAAGGCCTAAGAAAGTAAGATGCTTTTGTTAAAGTTCCTCTTCCTTTAAAAAAATCGCCTTTCCTCACCTCTTCTTTCTCTTTTTCCTCACAAGAAATGAAGAAATGCAGCTATTTTTTACCTTACTTTGAGGAGACCATAGAGGCATTGTCCACCAGTGTAACGTTTCCTGAAGGAATCAGGAAAGAACAGTATAAAAGGCCTATTTTTAGCAACACTCTTTTGGTATTAAAAGTTCTAATTATTCTAATTTCATCACCTCTTCTTCTTCGTCCCCAGCTACTCGGGAGTATCAGGGGCTTCCTCATTTCCTTCCCTCTTTCCCACTTCCATATTTCCTTTCCCTCCTCCTTCTGCAGAGGGCCATGGCACTTCAGCTGTGCAGTGCTACCACCCTCTGGGCACCGTCCACATCACAGTCCTGTCTGCAGGAGTGCCCTGAGCTCCACCATCTGCCTCGGATATCTCTGTGAGATAAATGCTGCCTTTCAGTGTACCCAGTAAAAAGAGACAGTGATTTACACCTGATGCAGCTTTACACAATGCCTGTTTCGGCCACTTGCTTTTGTAAAGAGACTTCATCTGGGTGAAAAATGCAAAGGTAAACACTTCCAAATGTATTGGTCCTCCACTGGTCCAGCACCCGTGGTTGGTGGGTTCATCTCCTCGTGAGTCCATGTAAGATGCACCCTTTGAAAAAAAAGTTCAGTAGCATCTCTAACACTTCCAAAAACAAGCTATTCCTTCTTTTCCTCTAATCTACCATCTTGTCCATAGCCAAGTGCTCATTTATTTAAAGAACGAAAAGCTATCAGGAAAAAACACATCTACTATGCCCACCATTTTGCTATAAAAGTACATTTCCCAAAATTAAAACCAGGAACTCTTGACACACAGGATTCATTTTTTCTTTTTTCACTTTCATCCACAAGAGAGACCGTGGCTATCTGCCCAGATGAAGAGAGAGCGACAGAAAACAGTGGCATCTTGCATCACACCATTTTCAATGGTCAAAACTGGCATGTCACAGGATGTGAAAAGCAATGAATGTCAAAGTCAAAGGAACTTTGTACCAAGGCTGTACTTTATCTCTGGTTCCTCTCTGGGTACCAACAGCAAATGTGTGTCTTTGGGTGATGATATTTGTGGAAAGTAAATATATTTTGTCTGTGCCGTGGCTTACCTTTGGGGGTACTGCTTCTTACACCATTTTCTAATGTTGATGACACGATGTATTACAATAGTAATAATGAAAAACAACCACTACAGTAACAAAAATAGAACAAAAAACCCCCAACCAAAAACCAACAACAAACACACCAAAAAACCCCCCCAACTTCACAATCCAATATAGAAAATTAAGTTCATCAGACAAAGATTTCCCACACTGCAGCTTATTTTCTCAGATGTGTGTTCCTTTTGAGAAGCAGATGCTCTATTTCATTTAATATAACAGATAATGATGGAAATTACAACACCTATTTGTAATCAAGATAAGGGTTTGGATTATTTTGCTTTATGATTCTAAATCTCTTACTAGCTGAGTGGGTAAAAACATGCATAAGGCTGAATGACTCATCCTTGTGCTTCACAGGTAGATGTGTCTGCCATCAAAACCTACTGAGAGCAGAGGTGAAGAGGGCATGTCTTAGATGTCCCTCCTTGATACACCTTCCCACAGATGAATCTCCAAAGATACAGAGAGTCCTTTCTCAAACTTTCTTACAAGCTGGAAAACTTCAAAATATCTTTGCAAAAGAAATAACATAGTTGTATGGTGCTCTTTTCCCCAGCAGCTTGTGTAGTTTCTACAACAACTCTGTCTCCAAAAATCCCAGTTGAACAGGCTGGCTCCTATACCATTTATTAAGCCCTAAACTCTTCTAGTTGCCCACCAGCCAGCAAGTCTGACCAACGCAGAATAGAGGAAAGGATGGGGGAAAAAATATCAAAAAGTGTCACAGTTTAAAGACACCAAATCTGTAAGGAAGGAAAGTGAGGAAAATGACAAGTTCAGGTTTTCTCCCTGAAAACACTTGCCACCAGCTGGCTCTGTTTAAAATGCCTTGTTTGATGCCAAATGCCACCTTATTTTACAAAAAAAGAAGCTGATTGAAAAGTTGCTTCCTAGCTTGTGTGAGACAGAACTCAAGTAATCTAAAACTCTAGAGATCTGTGCTGTGAATGCTTGGTGAATGACAAGGCTTCCTGCATTTTGGGTAGGAAAATTCATTTTTCTGGATATGTATGTGTGCTCAAACTAAAAAAAAAGATTCACTTCAAATGAAAATAAAAATCAGAAACTGACTTTTATGAGATTTTTCATCTCTGATCCCAATCAGAATCAATCACAGCATCACAGAAATGCATGCTGATGTGGCATGATGAAGATAGACAGATCCACGCGTCTGACGATTCTATACAAATATCATTATTGAATGAGAAGAGCCACAGTGGGCGAATTGCCTAGCTGGGGCATCGTCCTTCAAAAGGCAATGTACAGCTGATAAAAGAGATAGGAACAGCTCCTCAATCCTTTCAAATAGGCACCTGAATTTAAATTAAAGCTGCCACTTCACCCACTGCTGATCATAATTTTGTCCAGTGTACCTGGGGTCATTGGTCAACCCCAGAGTGCCAGACCATACGACTGTCACAGTGCCACCCTTATCTCCAGAGTCCAGAGAACACAAAAGCTTGGGGTTTAGTACCTTGCTGGGGGAATTTGCACATGTGAGTTCACCTCTTTGTTACAGCTTTCTCACCAAACACAGATGAGAATAATGGTAAAGCAGGTGAGCATGAATGGATGAAAAAGAGAACAAGGAAGCTAGATTGTCATGTGAAAGGGGGGAGTTTAGATTTTTGCCTGTTGGCGCCCCCAGGAAAGTCGAGACCCATGTGTCCGACCAGTCTGGCAGCATCGCACAATGAGAGCCTTCACCAACAGATTCACAAGATTGGAGGGTGATTTGATTGCCTTTGTCAGGGGGTGGTTAGTCGACAGCATGAAGACCCCTCAGCGGGCCCTGCCAAAGTATTATCTGCTGCTGGACCCACTCTAACAGTTCATGCAACAACACCTTTTATTAATACAAATTGTGGCAGGTTTGTGGTCGTTGGTGATAGGGTGCAAAAATATGTTTTAAAGCAATCTACTGGTATATGTATTAAGCAAGCACAAGCTCTAAACCTAAAAGCAGTATTTAACAAGCGTAGAATATAATTCTTACCAAATGCATCTCTGTGGGGAGAGAATATAGGCAGTTTCAAAGTACCACAAGTTCCCCCTTTCTGCCAGGATTTCAATGGAGGGAGGCCACGTAGTTTTCACTTCATTCCACTCTCCATTCCATCCCTCTAAGCAGATGATTATCATCGTACAGGGAGCACGTCAACTGCATTCTGTCCAGGCAGTAGCAGCTGCATTTATCACAGAATTCTTAACCTCCTCTAAATTTTAACCATATCCATCATCCCACATAGATATTATCATAGTGTAAGAGAAAAGGTTTATTTTGTCACTTGATTTACCACCCTTGGAGACACAAAGTCAGAACGCACATAAGCTATAATAAAACCAGGTAACATGATTTGAAAGGTGAACACAGCTCTGACAGTTGTTAGTGTTGGCCTTCCATCAAACAAGAAGACACATTGCTTGTTAAACAAGTCTAACAGCACTAGTGTTTTCCAACAGCATTACTTTCTGGAGTCAAGTGTTGCAATCTATAAAGTGTCTTGCTACCCTTATTTAGGAGAAGAGCCTTATGAATGTGATAATCTTTTAAGGTCCAATTTTATCATATAACATGCTGCAACTTATGTTTCCTATATATGGTTCATAATGAGATTAGTGGAGTATAAATGTTCATGCAATTTAAATAGTCTCTTGAGTGTCTGCAATTAGAAATATAGTGCTCTGTATTTGCCTGCGGGCACTGATGTTGCATCCCATAATTGTAAATTATTTATGTCTGTCATATTAAAAGGCATTTGATTTTAATGGGAGAGTTTAATCTTTTCTTTGTTTCAACCACCATATAATTTGGTTAATTACCATTTGTTGGATTTTTTTCCATTTGCCACAAAAAGGCCAAAGTCTTTCATTTAGTATTTCAAAAGCAGGTCATATAGAGTTGCCATTGGCACAGCATATGGAGCAGCCATTGACTCAGTACTGTTCAGAGATCACTATTCAGAGACCACTGTTGTAACATAAAATTTACCCCATTAATCTTGTCTTTCCAGATTTCAATTTATATAATTTTCCATTCACACAATCTGAATTATTAATTCCTGTATTAATATTCTTACCTAATTGTTCTGATACCCAGATATTTCTTAAATTTCAGAAAATTAATATCCCTTCTTGGTTCAAAGCCCCTCTGTGGAAGTTAACCTTTCCATATCCTAGATAAAAGTCTTCTTTAGCTCATCACCCAGCTATTAGGCACCGTAATCGTATAAGCTTGATTCTCAGTAATATTCTGCTGGTGAAAGAAACAGTTATAACGTATTTTGATAGAATTAATTGTTAATATTGAAGTTACTAGAGATAAACAAGAACTGCAAAGGTATTGTCTCACACTACAGAGCATAATTTTGCTAAGGCACTGCCATGATGAGTTTAACAGTGTTAAAAGTTCACCAATCATGATAATGCTGATATATGATGAAAGGTTTGCTCCCTATATAGACTCTTAACCAACAAGCTCTAAAACATCACCAGCAAAATTAAGTTTGTGATGTTGCTTTGCTAAATGAGAGATCTGTGATTAACCTGCCCATTCCTGCCTCCTGGTGCCTGCTCTCAGTGCTTGCAACTCTCCGGCTCAAACCCCAGCATTACAGCCTGGCCCTGCCTGCGCTGGAGCCAGACCAGGTGATAGAGCCAAGGAAGAGGAGGAGGAGGAAGAAACCTTCCTGTTTGCGTAACTGGGTGGCCTGACCTTTGATGCATGGCCTGGCAGAAAGGAATGGTGTTTCTTTTCCTCATTGTATGACTGGGTCTGTAATCAGTAATTCCATGCCTTTATCCACAGCTGCTATTTTAATTTCTTTTAAAGCAAGAACCAAATTTCTCAGGGCTATAGAACTCAAGGTTTTAAGAGAAAGCAACTGATTGAGAGAACCATGAACCAGTAGTGTGTCCTTGTGGACAAGAAGGCCAATGGTGTCCTGGAGTGCATTAGGAACAGTATTGCCAGTAAGTAGAGGGAGGTGATCCTGCCCCTCTACTCAGCCCTGGTGTGGCACATCTGAAGTGCTGTGTCCAGTCCTGGGCTCCTCAGTACAAGAGAGACATGGAGCTACTGGAGCAGGTCCAGTGGAAAGCTACAGAGATGCTGGAGGATTGCAGCATCTCTCAAGAAGAAAGGTTGAGGTATCTGGGCTTGTTCAGCCTCAAAAAGAGAGGACTGAGAGGGGACTTCATCAACGTATATCACTATATGAAAGGAGAATGTCAAGAGGCAGCATCAGCCTCTTCTCAGTGGTGCCAAATAATAGGATAAGAGGCAGAAATTGATTCCTACAAAATTCCACCTGAAAATGAGGAAGAACTTTACTGTGCAGCTGACCATGAAATGGAACAGATTGCCAAGAGAGTTGTAGAGTCTCCCTCACTGGAAATAATGAAGAACTGTCTGGATACAATCCTGAGCAGTGTGCTCTAGCATGATCCTTCCTGAGCAGGGAGTTAGGACTAGAAGAACCACTGTGGTCCCTTCCAAACTTATCCATTCTGTGATTCTTTGAAAACTTTAGAAGGTTGGGATTTTTTTTTTAATTTTCTGACTCTTCATCTAAACCAATTGTAAAATCTCTGAAGCAACACCTCCTGAGAAGAGCAAGTTAATTTTCCCCTCAAGAGAAAAGGAGGACCAGCTGAGGCTGGCATAAGTCGCAAAGGAGAAGGACAGTTCAAGTAGTGAAAATACAGGGATCTGTGGTCAGATAAGATCAGATAGGATCTGAGGAGCTAGTCTGCATATGACTCCTCCTCAGCTAAGAAAGGCAGATGCTTAAGAGACTTTGCTAATTTCCTCTGCCTGGAAACATGTAAGGAATTCAGAGCAGAACAGCAAAAGGACACATCTATTAGTTTCTCCTAAGTTAGAAAGGGCCAAAAGCCAAGAGAGACATCTTGGGACGAATATGCTAGCCTGTCTACAGCATAGGAGAAAGTCTAAGTTCTGGAGAAAGCCTAGTACACTCTGCCTGTGAGCAGAGAAAGCTGGCAAGTGTCACTGGAAGCCTAAGGGAGATCCAGCTATGGGAAAGGAGAAAGGTTTGTTCTCTTCATAGAAAGGAAAGCCTGTAGCACCGGTGTTTTAGAGGTAGATGATAAGATGCTTGTGGAAGGAACTTGCTAACAAGACCTTCCTTTCCAGGTATCTTTGACCTGGGAGCAATCCTCTGACAGGACCACTTTTGGAATAAAATTTTGGTGGTTGTCTTCTGAAAGGGAATCGTGGCTGTTTCTCATAGGAGGGACAGCACATAGCCCCAGTGTTTCAGGGGTAGAAAATAAGCTGCCAGGGCAGTAATGACAAGCAAGACATTTCTGTCATGACTCCTTTGTCTAGGGAGCAACGCCCTTACATAATAATGTTGGAGGTGGAACCTAAATGTTGGTGTTGGTCTCTCTAAAATAATGACAATTCTTTCCCATTGGAAGGAATGCATATATCCCAAGTTTTTCCCTGTCTAGCAATTTCAGGCTCATAGAGTTTAAAGTGGCCCATCTTTCGCAAATAAAAATCAGTAAAAACAAAAGCAGGTACTGCATTCCCCCTACTCGTGACAATCTTTCAGATACACACCACACACTAGGAATATGCTCTCTCTTTTAAAGCTCCAGGAAACATAATGATTTTTTCCTCTCTCAGATCCCGGTCCAAAGAGCCTATCCGATTCTGTCATCCTTGAGAATAAAACTAAACCAAAAAGAATCCAGCTCCAGTTAGCAAAGAAAAATGTGCCTGGAGAAAAGCTTACTCAGAATCCTCTGCAGCAGAGCGTGAAGGGAAAAAGCACAGTTCTAATGTGTTGTGTGTACTTAAAAGGCTGCTTCTGTGTGAGTGGTATATGGCCAGTCTTCGTGAGCGAAGATTTGGAAAAGGTCATTAACCCTTCGAGCCTGCGCAGTGGATTTTTTAGGTGAGACACAGCGTGCGCTGAACTGAGCCCACCCTTTAATCCTGAGGTTCATTTGCTGGGGCCGAGCAAGCTTGGACAGTGGCAGTGAGGTCCCCAGGACGTAGGTTTGTTTAGAGTGACCTTCTCTTAGATGGATGGCCTTACAGGGCTAACGAGCTCCATCTGCTCGGGGGGCTGGGAATCGAACCCGGGTCGCAGCGGTGAGAGTCCTGCACCCTAACCACTAGACCACCAGAGGCCCCCAGTGAGTGGTATAGCAAGCCTCCTTAGGCATTGGGAGATGGCAAGTGGGTGTTGGTGATAAGAGATGAGAAGGAAGGTACAGAGCAGGAGTCCAAACAACCTTTCTACCGAGACATTTATCTCTGTGAACTGGAGCCGGAAACTTTTCGGCTACAACCATACTGGAGGAGTGACAAAATAGGCAATTGAGAAGAGCTGTGCAAGTACAAGGCACCGGCCTTCTTTCAAAGAATCAGACCATGATTCATCTTCTATCCTTACACATATTTTGGTGAGAGAAGAATGCCCCACATGGCTCCCCCAGACAAATATGCTGGGACAAAAATCTTGCTTACCCGTTGCCCCGTGTCTTTGTTTGCACCGCAATCAAGAGTCCTCTTCCCCAGAGAGATTGTAAACTGCAGTCCCACTGCAAGTGCTCTGCAACTTCCTTCTCAACTGCAAATACCATCACACACTTTCCAGGCTCACTGAGGCAAAAGTGTTTAGCCCCCTGTCATTCTTTGCGAGCGCTATAGCAAGCCTCCTTAGGAGATGGCAAGAGGGTGATGGCAGTTAGACCTCAAAAACGAAGGTTTGGAAAAAGATTTCTCCCAGCAAATTTCACTGTGCTAACTGAAGCTACAAGCTTTTGTGTTTACAAAGGACAGTGCGAGACAGTACTGTCAAATATTCGTGATTACTTGGATTGAGAAACTAGTAAATACATCTGCTTCCCTGAAAATCTTGAGAATCCTATAATCTTTAGATGAGACATCGTTTGTAAGCTTAAAAGGAGTAATCAGCATCCAAAATTAAAAGCTGAGAAAGAAGTCATTCGAAACGAGAGATGCAACCGTAATTTATGGACTGGAAAAAAAAAAGTTGTGTGTTTAAAAGATAATAAAAAACCCCTGCAATTTTTAAAAACTACGCTAGATGGCAGAAAAGACCATAAAAATAATCATAGCCATTCGCCAGGTACATTTTTCTGTGCAAACTTCAGATGGAAACTTCTTTGTTAAAAAAAACAGGGCAAAAGAAACAGAATGGGATAGTCCATAACCAGAAAGAAAGTACAAAGCACTCCCTCCTTTCAAAGAATCAGTTTGCTGCACTGCTTCTGTCCTAACACATATTTCGATGAGAGAAGCATGCTATGTAAGGCTTGCCCAGAGAAGTATTCTGGGAGAAAAAGCTTGCTCACCCCTCACCCCTTCAATGGGTCCTTGTCCACGACAATAAAGTGACAGTCTTCTTCCCTAGTGTAAAAACTGCATGTTCTCTGCAACTTCCCTCTCAGCTGCAAGTGCCATAACAGGCTATTGGGGCTCACAGAGACCAAAGTGTTTATCCCACTCTCACGATACATGATGATATTTCTCTTGATACTTGTTAGAGCTGAAAAAAATAAGATTTCTCCCAGCATATTTCTCTGTGCTAACTGGAGCTGCAATCATTTGTGTTTAAAAGAACACTGAAGAGAAGGGGCAATGGGTGAGAAAGCTTTTTTCTAAAGGCATTTCTCTTAAGCCTCGTCTTAGAAATGCCTTTTAAGAGAGA